CGCGCAGGTACGCCCGCCGGCCCCGGTGCAGGGACCCGCTGCAGGGGGGGTCAGGGTGGGGGTCAGGGTCAGGGCCACCCAACCGCCCCCCAGTCACCCCACTCACCCAGTGGAGACATTGCAGGCACCACGTGGCAAAGGTGGGGGCTGTGGCACGGGGCCGATGTGGACCCGATCGGGGCACCCCAGCCACCCCTCCCAAGGGTGCTGGCACCCCCAGGAGCCCCTGGGACCCCTACAGTTCTCTGGGACTCATGGGACCCCCAGGACCTTCCCATCCTTTGGGACGCCCTGGGACCTCCCAGCTCTCCAGGACCCCTGGGACCCTCCCCAGCCCCTCCAGACCCGCTGTCCTCCCGCTGAGTCCCCAACCTGTGAGTCACAGCGTGTTCCTTGCACTCCTTGAGATCGGCCACCCGCTTCCCGTACCTGCGAGAGAGTCACGGCACCCAGCACGGCACCCAGGAGAGGCCCAGGCACCCCACAGAGGCCCTGGCACAGCCCCCAGCCCCTGGCACCCAGCGCAATCCCCCGGCACCCAGCACAACCTCCTGGCACCCTGTGAAGTCTCCTGGCACCCCAGCGCAGCCCCTGGCACCCAGCAGGGCTGCTGGCAAAGCCCCCAGCCCCTGGCACCCACCCCGGCACCCCCCTGGCACCCTCTGTGGCCCCGGCGCCGGCACGGCTGTTACCCCTTGAGGCTGCTGAGCAGCTCCTCGGTGACCTTGTGGACCTGGAGGGTCTCGTCGCGGAGGAGGGTGACGTAGAGTGAGCCCTGCAGCGCCTGCCGCCACAGCTCCAGGCACTGCGGGGACGAGCTCAGGGCCCCCGGGCACACCAGGAACCCCACTGCGGGCACAGCCGTCAGGCGGGCAGGTGCTGGCCACAGAGGGCAGGGGGACGGCCCGAAACCGGGAGCCAGGCTGCCCGCGTGGGGCTGGGGACCCGCGGGCACCGCAAGGACTCACTGAGGATCCAGCGCTCCATCACCTCCAGGGACAGGTACTCACAGGCCATCTGGGGACACAGGCGTCACCGTGTCACCGCCCTCAGCCCTCCTGCAGCCTCCCCCAGGACCGGCCCCGGTCCCCACGGCGCAGTGGCACTCACGGTGTCGGAGCTGGCAGGGCTGAGCATGGTGCCGGCGGTGCTGAGCAGGCTGAGGAGCTGGTCGCTGCGCCACTGCTCAGCCCCCTGGTTCCTCCGGGCGAAGAGGAAATGGAGGGACAGGAGGGCACTGGTGACAGCCTGGGGGACAGGGGGACATCACGGGGGGGGGCCGTGGGATGGATCGGGGCAGGATGTGGCCCCGCTGGCTGGGGGGAGCCCCATCCCACCTTGGTGTGCGGCCCAAATTCCTCCATCAGCTTCTTGAGGGGGTGGTCGTACTCCAGCACCATCTGTCCCAGGCGGGCGAAGCTGGAGTCACTGCGAGGACGGTGGCACGGGGGTCGGGGACGGTCCTCGGGGCCAGCCCCAGTGGGGACAGTCCGTGGGGCCATCCCCGGTGGGGACAGCCGACCCACCTGGTGCCGTGGCTCATCTCGTGGGCGCAGTGGTACATGCCGATGAGCAGCCGGCGGTCCTCGGTGCGGGCCAGCAGCAGGACGAGGGACACATAGGTGACAACCAGGTCCAGGTAGCTCTTGGTGAAGTCGTAGTTGACGTGCTGAGGAGGGGAGAGCTGTGAGCGCACGGGCACGGCCGTGGCACCCCCAAAGTACCTCCTGAACACCCCCTGCGCCCCACTCACGATGTCGAAGAAGCACTGGCTGGCATCGATGGTGTTCAGCAGCTCGTAGACGTGGTCCTGGCAGGGACGGGACAGGGACCGCGTCACTTCTGTCCCCCCAGGTCTGAAATGCCAGTGCTGCCCCCCGAAACCCCGCTCTGTCCCCCGCCGCGCGCCCCAGCTCACCCTGAACTCCAGGACATCCAGGAAGGAGTGGTAGAAGGGTCCCAGCGCCCGGGCGATGTCCCC